TGTATGTATGTATGTGTGTGTGTATGTATGTATGTGTGTGTGTGTATATATATATATCTGTGTGTGTGTGTGTGTGTATGTACCGCATTCCCCGACCTTTTGATTGGCATCTGCTATGTCAGTTCTAAGTCCCCTGAGGTTGGGGTTCGATATATATATATATATGTATGTATGTATGTATGTATGTATGTATGTACACATGTAAATCTTTCTAGATATATATGTATGTAGATATATATATATATATGCACACATGTATAGATGTACACACACGGATATATGCATGTACATATATTATATACAATAATAGATCATTTAAGTTGATTAGGCTTACAAATTAACCTCCATGTACTTCAGAAAAGGTTTGATCTAAAAGAAATCATGAAAAATATTGCGCTGAAATGTTGCATATTGAGAGAAAATTCTGAAGTAATATCATTCGGTAATAATTTGTTCCTCATCCGTAGTCATAATTTGTAACTTCTTAATTTCTAGATTTTATTAAAATATTTCTTTTAAGAAATAAAATTTTATTTTGATTTCATGCATACTTTTCATGTAATATAAGCCATAAAGTCTTTATTTTGATCTCACATAATTAGAAGAGGAAATCATTCTCCATAAAACATTTTTCCAGAACTCTTGTCAATGGATTAACTAATATATATATGTAACATATTCCATCCAGACATACATACATACATACAGACATACACACATACATACACACAGACATACATACATACATATATCGATAGATAGATATATAGATATATATATATATATATCTATATGAAAAGATAGATTTTATTTAAATATCTTAGCAAAGATTGAGTATCTGAATCAAAAATGCAGAAAAAAATAAGCAACATGCATCAATAGTTTTCACAATAATGAATTACTAATTTTTTTTATTTCCTTGTTTCTAGAAATGCATATTATTCAATGTACGAGCCACATTTTAAATCCATTGACAATGATCTTTGTAGAAATATGTCATCTGGAGAATGATTTCCCCCTCCACCTATGTAAAATTTAAAGTCAAACTTTTATGGCCATAATGCAAAGACAATGGTGCTTGCAATCGAAAGAAAATATAGTTTCTTGAAAGAAATGTCTTGATGAACATTAGAACTTAAGAAGGATGTTAGAGACTATGGCCAAGAAAAAAGGAACAATTTGTTATTGGAAGATCTAACTTTAGGATTTACTTTTAATACATATAAATTCAGGGCTGGCTGATTTTTTATGATTTCTCTTGGATTAGAACTTTGTTGAACAGCAAAGAGGCAAATTTGTAGCCGAATTAACTTAAAATAGTTTATTTAGTGAATACTATGATAGATCTATTTTTGTTCGCCAAAAGCAATCATTAGCTGATACTATCAAATAAATTATCATATTTTGTGATGCACATAAATATCATAATCAGTTGGTTACATTTTACTTGAAACAATAAATGGCAGCAATATTCACTAAATCACCTTTTGCTTGTGTGATTGGTTGATCAAACATGACTTCAACATAAGCCAGGTTTTTTTCCATTGGTCATCTAATTTGGTATCATTAGTATTGAAAAAAAAAAATACATAATTTAAAATAAAAAAAAACAAATAATAGGCAAACTATCAACTCACCACTATGCTAAAAAAGAACAAATTTATTCGAATGGAGTTTAATGGATTTAGGTTTTTTTTTAAGTATAATATAAGTGCTTTTTTTCTATCAGTATATTTTTGGTAGCTTCTCAAATTATAAACTTTTCGTAAAAGTTGGTACTGTATCTTGTGAAGTGCAGGTTAAGGAAAAAAAGGATGAATGAATCTGATGCTTACGAATACTTTGTCCTAAGAGCACAAAAAATAGCATCATCCCATGGCTATGAATTCATTAATTGGTAGGTCTTCTAAAACAAGGAATTTGTATTCATCACAAATCAACACAACGTAATATATGATTTTGAATTTGAAAACAGGGAGGAGACGTTCAATGATTTTGGCAAACAACTTAGCCCCAAAACTGTGGTTCATAACTGGTAGCTCTCTCACCTTTAGTTGTATCATGTTCTCTGAATAGAAATCTTTCCAAATTATCATCTCTCTAATCATGTTTCTATTAGCAATGATCCCACATTATTTTTTCATTAGGAAATATATTGTTTCCAATAACCAGCAATTTTTTTAAACTTTCATCATATATGCTTAATTTAATTGTAAGTATTTATCATATAATATGTTTCTCATTGCAAAGTTCACATTTTAATAGATAATTTTTGAAACTTCAAAGATGGGTTATCGTTCCCATACTCATTTATGAAATATTAAAGCTAGGTTATGTTAGACTTGGCTAAACTTCTAAATGCTAAACACTAATGGATTTCATACCCCCTCTATACCTCCCTCCAGGATTCTCTCCTCTGTTAATTCTATTTCCTATTATATTTGCATAGAACGTGGAATTGATATGCAGCTCCAATGTCATGTGCAGTTTGTCAAACTGCATGTTATGCAGCTCCAATGTCCTGTTAAAGACGCTATGCGCTCAATTAATAAAGGAAATGATAAATTCTCCAGCCTTTATGACAGATAAGGTGTGGAGAGATCTTGTATTCCTTACCTATATGGTCGACAACTTCCAAAAAATTCAATATTATATAGGTGCAGTGTTAGATACATATGTTAATTTTGAGGCTGAGAAAAACATTAATCAGTTTTTTCATAATAAAAAAGATCAGGTTTTGACTAGCATGATGACTATCAGATGTCCTCTCGCAGTCTAAGCTTTACAACACAAAATTCAACACGAGAATTTGATTTCAAGGAAACAAATAAATCATGATAAAGCAAGAAGGATACTACTTGTCAGACAAAGTTCAAATTCATCAGAAGTCTATTATTTTAATCAGAAATCACATTCTCAATTGTTACTACTAAAATGTTTGCTTGAAAATGAATTATATAATTTATCCAAAGAGTTCAAGAATAATATCATTTATCTTATAGGTAAGGCAAAAAACAATAGGTCATTAAACAACACATTTATGAAGTTACAGAAGCAATATATAAATTTGAATGCAGTAAGTAATCGATAGTAATGAATTTATAATCTAAAACGAGGTTTACAGCTCTATTGAAAATTGTAGATATGATTCGCAAAAAAAGTTGATGAAAATGGAAGTGGCCAAGATGGATAATTTATAATCTAGAAAGAGGCTTATAGCTCTATTGAAAATTATAATAGAGCACACTAACAGTCATGCTTTCTAAATAAAATCGCTTTTCTTCATAGCTCATCCATTGCCTAGACATTTCTATGACATGCATCTACAATTTAATAAGCCTTAAGAAAATAACATATATTTTAGATCAATTTTTATTATATTACAGAGTTACTGAATGTTTTACTCAATTAATATATTGCTGTAACCATAGCCTCATAATGATTTTTTTTTCTTGAGGCTTGGTCGTGGAGTTGCTGAAAAAGTAGTAGGTGCGGGACTAAGATGCATTGTTAGCAACCAAGACAAGTGGTATCTTGATCACTTGGATGCCACATGGGTTGGTTTCTATATGAATGAACCACTTGTAAATATCACCAAGCCTGAGCAACAGAAACTAGTCCTTGGTGGTGAAGTATGCATGTGGGGAGAAACGGCAGATGCATCAGATATAGAGCAAACAATATGGCCCCGCGCTGCAGCAGCAGCAGGTAATATCACACTCTTATCACATTAGATTGTTATAGGAAAGGAATTCCACTGGATTAAATTTTATCTTCTCTATGCTGGCAATATCAATAGTTAAATTACCCATATTTAATTAAATGTTTGGAATATTGTCTAACTGTGTCAGAAGAGTGCTACTTTCTCAACTTGTATTTCATCTAAAAGTAACAAGATATGCAATTTAAAGACAAATTATGTTCACTGTGGACTATTTCTGACTCTGCATTTTTTGTTATGACCTAAAGAGCGTCTATGGACCCCAATTTCGAAGCTAGCAACAGATCCCAAGATAGTTGCACCCAGATTGGCTCATTTCAGATGCTTACTCAACCGAAGAGGAGTCGCCGCTGCGCCGTTGTTTGCTCCTGGTAGAGGCACTCCAACGTTCACAGGCTCCTGCATCCAACAGTAATCACAGAGCACCTCTTCCGGATATCAACCTTGGACTATTTATTGGGTATTAGGCTGCAAAATAACCTTTTTATATAAATGAGAGAGGGTGGGGTGGGGGTGGGCATGTTTGTATTCTCTATTCCAATATTTTAAATGCTGTAAAAATAAAACGAAACTGCAAGACACAAATCAAGCAGTTTTCCTTTATTGCCTGGTTAACTGTAATCTACTGCTTTCCTTAAAAGTGTGCGTATTGCATAAAATAATCTGCTGGTTCCCAACTAAAGCTGATTCCTCTCTATAAAACTGAATTATGTTAATGCACGGGACTAATCCCAGTATGCATACAATGCTCCAGAACCATTCCCGCTGCAAATCTTTTCACGGGTGTGAGCTCTATTGAAAATTATAATAGAGCACACTAACAGTCATGCTTTCTAAATAAAATCGCTTTTCTTCATAGCTCATCCATTGCCTAGACATTTCTATGACATGCATCTACAATTTAATAAGCCTTAAGAAAATAACATATATTTTAGATCAATTTTTATTATATTACAGAGTTACTGAATGTTTTACTCAATTAATATATTGCTGTAACCATAGCCTCATAATGATTTTTTTTTCTTGAGGCTTGGTCGTGGAGTTGCTGAAAAAGTAGTAGGTGCGGGACTAAGATGCATTGTTAGCAACCAAGACAAGTGGTATCTTGATCACTTGGATGCCACATGGGTTGGTTTCTATATGAATGAACCACTTGTAAATATCACCAAGCCTGAGCAACAGAAACTAGTCCTTGGTGGTGAAGTATGCATGTGGGGAGAAACGGCAGATGCATCAGATATAGAGCAAACAATATGGCCCCGCGCTGCAGCAGCAGCAGGTAATATCACACTCTTATCACATTAGATTGTTATAGGAAAGGAATTCCACTGGATTAAATTTTATCTTCTCTATGCTGGCAATATCAATAGTTAAATTACCCATATTTAATTAAATGTTTGGAATATTGTCTAACTGTGTCAGAAGAGTGCTACTTTCTCAACTTGTATTTCATCTAAAAGTAACAAGATATGCAATTTAAAGACAAATTATGTTCACTGTGGACTATTTCTGACTCTGCATTTTTTGTTATGACCTAAAGAGCGTCTATGGACCCCAATTTCGAAGCTAGCAACAGATCCCAAGATAGTTGCACCCAGATTGGCTCATTTCAGATGCTTACTCAACCGAAGAGGAGTCGCCGCTGCGCCGTTGTTTGCTCCTGGTAGAGGCACTCCAACGTTCACAGGCTCCTGCATCCAACAGTAATCACAGAGCACCTCTTCCGGATATCAACCTTGGACTATTTATTGGGTATTAGGCTGCAAAATAACCTTTTTATATAAATGAGAGAGGGTGGGGTGGGGGTGGGCATGTTTGTATTCTCTATTCCAATATTTTAAATGCTGTAAAAATAAAACGAAACTGCAAGACACAAATCAAGCAGTTTTCCTTCATTGCCTGGTTAACTGTAATCTACTGCTTTCCATAAAAGTGTGCGTATTGCATAAAATAATCTACTGGTTTCCAACTAAAGCTGATTCCTCTGTATAAAACTGAATTATGATAATGCACGGGGACTAATCCCAGTATGCATACAATGATATGCACGGGGACTAATCCCACTATGCATACAATGCTGCAAATCTTTTCACAGGTGTCCCTCTTAACTCCCTTTCCGCCTCCGCCGCCCTATCAGTCCCAATACACACATTCATCGCCATGTATCCTACGCTCGGATATTATTCCTTCCCATCAATTCCTCTCAAAACCCTCACGCAACTCAGCAACCCCTCGTTCTTCTGCCTGCAGTCGCCCCGCCGCCAAGGCATTGCGCCTTCAAGCGCTCCGGATCTAGGGTTCCTCCCGTTGAAAATGCTACACCTTTCTAGGACAGTTCGAGGTAAAAAATTTACATGAAGCAGGAGTTAACAGTTGAAATACAAGTTTTTTTAAAAATTTTGTACACTTGTTGAGTCCGGACACTGCATCCGGACTCCGAGTATAAAATTTCTTCAGGTCGAGCCACTCTCTGTACAAATGTCCTCCTCCCCGGAGGAGGAGGGACCACTTTCAAGCAGGTTTGGATTGATGTGTGTCTGTGATCGGAGGGCGCACACAGCCCTGCCTGCTGCACTCTCCGCAAGCAATAATTTTTCCCTCCGGAGGTTGTAGACTTTCTTTAGTTGTGGTATGTTAATCGGTCTAGTTAGAAGTTTGATTTCTATACACTCCTTATTCTTGATGGAAACTAATGTGAACTCAGCCTTGTCCGTCAAAAGGTTTGCTAGTCACCATGTTGTTGAAGGCTTCACTTGAGAAATTGTTTGACATTGTTTTAGAAATGTTGATTATATGGTTTTTTGCTTTGATATTTTTAGACGGTCTAAAGTCTTCTTTAGCATTCCATGATCTTATGATGCGTTTGCCCATTTTATGTATCTGCAATGATGTAAATTACAAAATTTATGCTTTAGTGTTGCAACATAGCAACTGCTACCGCTTGACCTATTACATTCACTTTTGATTATGTTATTGTTGGAAGGCATCTTTTGTAACTTGTTCACTTACCACTAATAGCTGAGTTTGATTTCTCATCTTTCATCGTCCCCAATGGTTACTAAAAAATGTCGATCTTATTAGATTGAAATGGTGTAATGTTTAATTTTTTTTCGCTATATGCTCTTTGCTTAAAGTTTTAAACTCATTTCAGCAAAAGGGCGATACAAGTGATGACGCATCATCTGCTATCTAGGACAAAGAAACAATAATTTTTTTGTGATATATGTGTGAAAGAAGAATTAAAAAATGTGCTAACACATTTGAACAAAGAAGGTTGTGTTAGATTACAAATAATAATTTTCAATAGAATGCAGAAAGCGTGTATGATCGAACTAAATTAAAAAATAAATGAGACTAATTAAAAAAGGACCGAAAGATCTGGAAAGAGCACAAAAGAGGATCCAGTGGCCTTGGTTGGGTTCCTATTAAAAACATCATAGGTGCATGAGTAGATTGATTGAAGGAGAAATTAGAGGCTAAATCTATTTAAAGACATATTTAAATTTTCCTAAAATGCATAATTGTTATACATAACTTATTTTTTTAATTATATGAATGACAGACTGTACCAAGTTACAAGAAATTTAATTTTGGTGAAATTGAACCAGAGCTAGAGGAGAAGCTAGATGATATGTTTGGCGGGGGTTGTTGCGACTGGTGAACATTATTGGACTTCTCAAGGTTTAGAAGAGCCTAGAAATAGCCTGATTGAACCTATTGAGAGATCACCGCATGGAAAAAATGATATTATTGAATCTAGCAATGCAAGGACACCACTTTCTTTGAAAGCAAGGGCAAGTCGTACTGAAAAAATTAGTCCTGTGTACCTAAGAAGCCAAGTATTTGAGCTTGTTACAGCATGCACGAACTTGTCTTCTAAGGCCACCATTGCACAAAAATCTTCATCTATTCCTAATGTAATAAAAATATATGAATAAATACCATAAGTATTTGAAGATATTCCATTGTATTTGTACTCATTGAAACTAATTGAAGATACGGTGAAGAGGGATGTTTTCACATCCATGGCACCTGAGATGAGGGTTCATTACCTACGCTTCTTCTACGAACATTGCAACTTTTGATTAGTATTTTCTATTTGTGTTTTGTGTGAAGTTCGCCTAACATTTTTGTTTAATATCTATTTATGACATTATTTTTTTGTAGCGGAACAATTGCTCTTATTGTAATCTCATTTAATGATCTATTTTGGCAGAACTATTATTATTGTACTCTCATTGCTTTTATTAATTTTGTGAGTATGGAAATTTGTTAAGGTAGATTTGTTTGGTATCATTGAAGAGGTATGTATTCAGATACCTTGTTGGGTTGATATTTGTTTCATCGAAGCTTATATCACTTGATATTTGTTGCAATGAAGTTGTAAGCATTAAGATTTATGTGTTAAGTATTTGAAGCAATGTTTCATTCTTCCGTTTGGTTTCAAATGGTTCATTGTATTTGAATTTTTTTTTATCAACTTGCTTTGATCTAGCTAGGATCTACTTAAAACATGATATCACTTATTGTTAGAGTTTTATTTTGAATTTGAATTTTAATTATTAGGAATTTTCTCTCTTGGTTTATCATGCCAGCCTTTTTAAATTTTTTAGTTAAGAGAGTACTTATTTGTAGCCAAAAATAAGAGAATTTGTAGTTTGTAGTTAAGAATATTGATCAATTACATACATATCACATAATTATCTTGTAATTTACAAGTTTGACAATACAATTATATAACTTCTTTCTTTCACATATCTGAAGTGGTATTTCTAGTTTAATTAGATGTTCTAGTGTTCTTTATGTAGGAAATATATTGTGTTCTTTTGTCTAAACCCCTTTATTTTACTTATTGTCAATGTATTGCATTTTTTACTACTCATGGAGGGAAAGCATTGACCAAATTTTTTTGTGGAATAAGTATTAACACTTCTGCATTGGATGGTAGCAACTCTAACTGTTGTAACCTACTGCTCTAATTGGTTGGTATGGGTTATCCTTATTAACAGTAAGTGGCATTTTTAATGTCACTATTTAATGGGAATGACAATGTTTGTACTTTGGTGGCTATTCAATACATAGGAATTTTGTGCTAGGTATGTGAATTTCCCTTATTGTTACTATGTACAGGATTACAGTATCGAACACGAGCTCATGCAATTCAACAACCTTTAGGGGGATCCATCATCGACCTGTTTTTTATTATTGCAATCTATTGTGCGTTGTTTTCACAATCAAAGAGGTGACAATGTAGGACAAAAATTTTACAGATGTCCAAAAAATTTAATGAACAAATATTGCAAATTTTTCCAATGGGCTGATGTAATGTGGGATAAAATAGAGAAGCAAGCTGACAAAAAGATATATGTATTTGATGATACAGTTAAAAATGTTGTCAAAGAGTTGAAGTTTCTTGTGAAGACTTTCCTTTTGTAACTATATCATTGATTTTGTTGTTGTTGTCGTTGTATCTATTTTGATTATGTTTATGTATTTTGGAAACAAACTATAAACCGTTAGGTTTTATTTTCTAAGCAAAATTTTCCTTTTGTTTTATATTATATAAATTATGAATTTTATACTTTAATTATGCAACCCTCCAACTGAGACCATTTGATCTATCACAATATCTTATCATTATGAATTTTGGCATAATTTGATGATTTTTAATTGTGGCATAATTTGATGATTTTTTTATGATTTAGTTAATGTTCACCTTAATTTACCTTATGCTATTGTGAATGAAAATACACAAATAGCAATTTTAGAATAGTTTTTTTTCAAACAGTTTAATAGTATTTATATACTGAGGGCATTATAGTCATTATGTCAACAGACAACAATTTCAAAATTGTGTTTTCAAACAGACCAACTATTTTTAAAACACCAACTTCTGAACAACAGATTTTTAACAACAGCTTTTCAAACCAGCTTTTCTATAGTCATAGTCGAAACAAACACTCTCTAAGACGAAGTAGCGGGAACATGTGTCTGGTTGGAGGAAGAGAGTTTTAACAACAGCTTTTCAAACCAGCTTTTCTATAGCCATAGTCGAAACAAACACTCCCTAAGCGAAGTAGCGGGAAGGTTGGAGGAAGAGAGCTCGGACATTGAAATACTTAAAAAATATAGAATCAGATTAAAAATCTTGGACAAAATAATAAAATATATAATTATTTAATAAATTAAAAAAATATTTTGACTAAATATTAAATGAGAATATTATAACCTAAATTTTTATTTGAATATTGCATCATATTTAAAAAAAAAACTATATAAAAATAAATATAATATATCAATTAAAATTAATATATCTAGCTTACAATTTTAACTTATTAAACTATATAAAATTTTAGCTTGACATGTTATCGTAGATCTAAGAATTTTAATTATTTTCTTAATCAACTATGAAATTTCTTATGCTTCCAAAAACTCTTCAAATAGATGAAATAAATTGAGTTTATGAAGTCATAAGAACAACTTCATTTGATATAGTTACACCAATCTTAGATTAAATGGTATAATAATCATTTTTGCTACTATTAAGGGGATAAGCTTAGGATTTGTTTGGGGCAGCTACAGCTTTTTGAATAATTTGTTGATAAGCTGATTAAAAATAATCTGTTGATAAGTTAGGTGCGGTGATTATTACAATTTTTTATTTTTTTGGAAAAGTCAGATTGTTGCCAGAAAGCTGCCACCACATGTGGCGTGAAAATGCTTTTTTTAGCGTTTCAAAATGCATAAGCTGCCAAAATGTAGTTTATCCAAACAGGTCAGGTGTGTTTTCAAATGTCACCGCACCAAATAAGCTGTCAAAAATGGACCATTAATCGTAGGTTCTTGTGGAATGGAACGTGTTTACTTTATTATTTTCTTCCTTTTTATACAATATGTTGTGTCATTGATCTATATGATGAGTATTTTTAGCAAAACATCAAAAAGTTGAGTAGCTTACTATTTTAATGCTAGTAAGACTTTTCAAAAAGAGCAACTCTTCTCTAGGAAGGGTGAGTCAATTTTTTTAATTTTTTTAATCTTGTTAAACTTTTAATTTATTGAAATGTATAACAGACCTCTTATTTTGGAAATTT